GGGGAAGCGATGGCGGCGTCTCTTCGTGGGGAGGGCAGGAGCTCTGCGGCTCCGTGCGCCCTTGGAGCCTAGGGCGGGATGGTGCTTTAGAACAGAGATCAGCCTTCTGGGGGCAGAAATAAAGAGTGTTTAAAAGAATCTCCTGAGTGCTGTGCTCGCTGGAGAGCTGAGCGTGACGGCCGAGCTTGGTTCTCTCCACACGCCCAAGCTTAGGGCAAGGGTTGGCTGCCAGGTTATTTTCAGGTCACAGCTTGTGTGGTTAAAGCTGAAAGGGGCTGCCTGTAGGTTTCCCCCATCAATCCCTCCCAGCCAAACTAAAGGACAAATGCAGTCTGCCCCGGTTCATGTTATAAAGTCTTACAAGCATGCTCCTCAGCACTATAGGATGGAAACAATCAGCAGGACAGCGGTCGTGATGTAATGGACCAAAGCGTGTCCATTGCTCTGTGTTGTTCAGACCCAAGCACAGCCTGAGTGATACAGGTGAACATGGCTTTTTCTGAGCAGCTTTTTTCTAGGGAGATGAGCAGAAGAGGCATGAGTTGGTTGCTTTCCCTTTTTGCTTAAAGAAGTAGGCAGCAGAAGTGAGCTTTCAGGTACAACAGACCTGTAGTGTATTTCAGGTAAAATTAAATGCATAAAAATAAATGGAGATCAGGCAGAACTTATTGGTATGAGCAGAAAAATAGTTTGCATGATTTTCTCCTAGTTTTAGGGTGTTTTTAGTAATGGAAGACAAGGCAAGGAAGAAACTCATCATACAAAATAGCAACTACTTATCGCTGTCAGGTGCCAAGTATAGGCGCTTCAGAGCTTTTTCAGGTCAACCGAATTGTGTTTCTCCTTTCCCTGCTACTTAATATTGCACATAGTTATCGTCCACCCATCTGTACAGAGCTCTTTCACAGGCTTAACGACAGCTCTCAAAACCTCTCTTCTTTTAGTTCCCTTGCAGGTGCATGTATCAAGAAAGGATCCCAAACAAAAGCTGTCCCTTTGAAGACTGAAATTCAAGTTTAACTTACATCTTATTTTTTTACTTTTTTACTTAGGAGTTTGTCTTTCATTTGTTTGTATTTTTCACTTCTCGTTTTTCCTTCTTCGTTAGGGAAATATATTGATGAAAGGAAATGGAAGTAAGAGGTGTTTTCTGTGAACTTTAATGTTAAACTTCAGTACATTTTTTTTAAAGCCCTGGGTTTACTGTATTTAGAATATTTGCTTCTCTCCCTAGTGTTCAACAGCCAACATGTCCAGCAAAAAGGCAAAGACAAAGACCACCAAGAAGCGCCCTCAGCGCGCTACTTCCAATGTGTTTGCGATGTTCGATCAGTCCCAGATTCAGGAATTCAAGGAGGCCTTCAACATGATCGACCAGAACAGGGATGGCTTCATTGATAAGGAGGACTTGCATGACATGCTCGCCTCCCTTGGTAAGGTCACTTTTCTGTTTGTGGTTGACAAGCAAGTTTGTGCTGTTAGAATTAGAACAGTGGAGTTTGGGATAGCTTACAAGAGGTGTCTCAGTTTGTGTTACGCTCTTAAGGTTACTCGTTCTTTTAGTTTGAAAGCTAAATCATCTATGAATCCTTTTATTTGTAGGAAAGAATCCAACAGATGAATACCTAGATGCCATGATGAATGAGGCTCCAGGCCCCATAAACTTCACAATGTTCCTCACAATGTTTGGTGAGAAGTTAAATGGCACCGACCCGGAAGACGTAATCAGGAATGCTTTTGCTTGCTTCGATGAAGAAGCAACAGGTACATAGGTGAAACTCAGCCACTTGGGGGGAAGGGGGGTAGATGGTACTTTTGTGTTGTTTATTTGGGTTTCTAAATAGTATGCTGATATTTGCATCTTTATAAATGAAGTATGACACAGTAATCCTAGATGGCACATTCTACCAAGTAGTAAGAATTTGACTTTTACTGAGTGAGAGTAAAAACTGGCTGTTCTGTGTGAGTACTGAGGACTAGTAGTAATGTTCTATGAGTCTCTGAAGAAAAGTGTTTTAACTGGGCAGCATGTATGTTCCTCTAAGTGCAAAATAAGGTGTGTTTGCTCTGAGAAGATGAGGAATTCAAATTGGGAATATGTGATTTTCTACAGCATTAAAAAGGTAACAGATGTGAAATCTATATTACAACTGAGTGTGTCCACTCCCTGCAGTAGGTCTGAGATGCATCCAAATTCTTCAATGTTTCTAATATTTCAAGACAAGGTGTCCAGACTACATAAACTCTTTTGAAACCTCATCTTGCCTCGTGTATGTTACAGTTGTGATGACAAATATCATGTGTCATGGCATCACCTGCAGCTCAGTTTACTGTTTTCAGATTGCAGGAAGGGCTGTACCTTAATGATCTAAAGATAAAAACCAGGTGGGGTCGAGAAGACAGAAATGACAGGTTGGACTGACTTGTGTAGCAAGATGGGGAGAAAAGAAAAGGCAGAGCACAGTTTTACTGTATCAGACTTAAACTGTTGCACCTGTAATCTAGAGGTTAGAGGTTATTTATTTATTTATTCATGTAGGCTAAGACTCCCAAGAAGTGTGTAGCAACTGGGGGTGAATCCTTAGGGCAGTTCTGTGGAATTACAGGATATCAGTGCTTTGACATGCTGTGAACATGTCTCACTCATGTATGCTAAAATTACATAGCATCTGTACTAGAGATGTCACCGCACCTATAACTTTCCTCACAACTGTCCACCACAGTATTTCAGTCTAACCTGTGGACGTGTACTCTGAGCCTTTCAAAGGATATTATTCCATTTCAAACAGCTATTTTCAGTCTGTGTATTTTTAGCACCTTTTGCCTTTTCAAAGAGCATCCCCTTCCTGCT